CCTATTCATACACAGCAATTTGGGGTTCTACTTCGAGTGGCAGAAGGAGCCGGGGATCGAACCAACAACCTTCCGATTAGGGGATGACCCGCTCTGCCTCTGAGCCACAGCCGCCCACGGTATGGCCATTACATTCAGTTTACAATTGTTCCACCTGAATAGATGTTACCAATTATGACTTTCCTAACAGAGGACTTTTTTGATCCAATTGATGCCAGTGTCAGGAATTAATCTTTTAATATGGAGTAAAATGTGAGGCTAAAGCTTAAAGCTACAGAATTTTTGCAGGAAAATATTCAGGATAATTTTCATTGTACATGCTGTGACTGTGTTTGCTGTGTATCTGTTACCCATTAGATCCTTGGTTACCACTAGTCCCCCTGTCTGCTTCTGTGGCTTCTCTCCTTCAGCAACCAGTCCTGAAACACATAGAAAAATCCTTGTCATCACCCAAACACCAAATGCGAGTATGTTGGCAAATTCAATGAATGAGCTCAGCTGCCATTGGCTGGTTGCTGAAATAGGCCTACTTAAATTAACGTTAAATTGTTAATACCAATTAGCTGTGAAATCAGTGTGATCAGGTCTGTGTCTCCTGCATGTTTCTGCATGTGTCTGGGTCCCTGTTTTCAAATAATAGAGGGGTCCGATTCGGTACCAGGTAGTAAGTACATTTCCGGATTTTTTTGGAGTTCGGGAAAGAGTTTGGACATGTGAACTGAGGGTACTACTGTGAACCAGTATTTTGCAGTCTCACAGTAGTGAGTGAAAATTTCACATTGAGGATCTTCACTGAGTGGAAAACTTTATTTTTGAAAGTAAATGAAGTGTGTTCTTATTGGTGAGTGGGGTATAGATTTTTCAAATTCCACCACCAGAATTAAATTTAAGTAGATGCAACTATAGCATTTCAAGCTCAAAGGATGAGAGGTTCTTCAAAAACTTTTTTTCATAGCCACATTCAAAACCTAGAACACTTACTTCTGCTCTGCCATTCCCTTTTCCCAACAGGCACTGAGACAGGTCTAGATGAGCTAAGACAGCCAAATGGCCACTCATTATCATAATCTGTATCACTAGGCTTTTGGTCCAGTATTCTGTGGCCTCAGACCTTTGCGATCAACCTTGAAGTCGATTATTATTGGCTCCACGGTGCCCTCGCGATTCCTTCCTAGGCCCTCTCCAGTCTTCCAGCCCATCTTTCTCATCAGGAACTCCCCGACACCCCCGGATACTGGAGTTGCCCTGAGGAACTGGTCCTAATGAAGAAAAATAGTGAGACAGAGAAAGAGGGGGAAAAAGGAAGATCAGTGGGATGTGACAAATAGTGAGTGATGATGCATTGGTTGAGAAACAGGAAGAGATTCCTTTAAAGTATTGAAAGTTTGGATTGGTATTCTACCTCATACAATTTTGCAATAACTTTTTGCTTTTGTCAGGTTGACAAATATTTAGATCACCTCTCAAAAGAAAAACAAAGATACATGAACACACTAGAAGATTTGGGGACTTGATAACTTGACCTGAAAACACCCTTGCCAGAGCTCCAGTTTGGCGATGTTTACATCTATCTTGTGGAGAATCCCTCCCCTTACCCTGCTGCCAGACTGAAAGTTTACAAAAGTACAAACTAGGGATTTCTCGATCCAATTGAAAAGATCAGTATCGGCTTGATCAAGTAATTTTTTAACTGATTGGTATCGGCTATATTGAGCTATATTGAGCTGATACGATTTTTTGATTTATGTCAACTGTCTCACAGCTTTTACTCACAAAGCTTTCATGCACGGTGCAGCCATCTCAATCCGTGTGTGTGTAATCCAGATTTGTAAATGCGTAAAATATTCTGTAAATATGTACTGAGATTTGTGAATATGTACAGGAATCTGCAAATGTGTGCTCAGAATCTCTGTGTGCCTAATCAGATTTGTAAATGTGTAAAAATTTGTATTCAGTTTTGCAAATGTATTGAAATATGTAAACATGTAGACAAATCTGTAATTATGTATATAGATCTAAAAATGTGTGGACAAATCTGTAAATGCAGATATACATATTAATGTCTGAGAAGTCAAGTATTTCCTCCAAGAGCTTAAAGTACGGATGATTCATCCGTTACAACTCAGATGGGAATTTTAATTGGCTGTCTTTTAACACAACCTTTGCTATACCTCTGCTGTTGCTGAAATCTGCCAGAAATGTGTGTGTGAGAAGAGATTTGTCTGTGTGTCTCAGAAGCTATACAGCCTACATACCACCAGTCGGCAGTAGTGTGACATTGCTGAATAGAAATTTGTAATTCTTTTTTTTTTTTTACACATTTACAAATCTGAATACACACACATGGATTGAGATACAGTTACCCAAATCTCCACGCACATTTGTAAATAGTTTTGCTACAATAATAGCTCCATACTCCACACTCAACACACCACTGCAAATGCAACAAAAGGTATAGAAACAACGGATATAAATGCTAAGCAGAATACAGTTTATTCAGGCAAAAGCTGCACCGAAGCACCAAGAGAAACACTAGAAAAAGAAACTTGCTCCAGACAGCGACGAGGCCAAAGGGATTACAGAGAATGTAATATTTTATACATAATTGTGTAAGAAAAAACAAACAAACAAAAAAAACACTACAGAAAAGGTATGCAAGCATTGTTTCTTGATGCATTTCAGAGCTATCTAATTGTCAAGCAAATACATTGCTTGTACATGTATGCCTGTGCATAATAGCACCCAACCACAATCTCATCTCTGGGTTTTTTTCGGACAGGATTCTCTAGAAGCACAACCCAGGCTTGTCTACTAGTTAGTGCATCCGATCACACAACAGCTATCCGGCATTTTGGCTAAACAAACTTGGTCTGTTTTGAAAATCACTACTGTTAAGTTAGCTGGTGGTCAGCAGAAGAAAGCCATGTTTTGCCCTCTAACTGTGCATTCCTATAAGGATATGACGTCACATGAATCTATTAATTACCAGGTCAATACAAAAGAATGCAATCACTAAAGAATTTAACTTCCGTAAATGTTTGTATCATGGGTGTTGCAGAGGAACCTGATTCAAGCTTCATTACTTTAATTTCTAAACTACTGAGAGAAGTTTTGCCTCTTCTAATTGAAAACCAATGGTTACTATTGCACAGTTTTCCCTTAATTACAGTGGATGATGACCCGCTATATATTAAAATTCACACTACTCTGCTCAAGCACTCATAGCTCTTTCATTTTGGAGTCACTAGTCCCACACTTAGCTATACACGCTATACAGTTCTAGTAGCTAAAGTACTTAAGTTTAGCAGTTACCAATGGCTTCTCTATTTCTCCCTGTTCTGCTCTGTTGCTTAGTGTATCAAATGTTATTTTGAACATTCCTCTGCATCCTTTATAATAGTACACTGTAGGAGATTGTCCTATCGTCTCCACCTCTGCAGGAGACCTTTATTGGTTTTCTAACATCAGGCTCATCATATAATCCTGATTTCTTCCCCAACACAGCAGGGTTTGGCACAGAAACACAAAAGATTACTTTGCAATCTTCTCCTGCTGGGTGATAATCTGTACTAGAGAGATAAATTTTACTTAGTACTTTATTCCAGACTAATCAGTTCCCATGTAGTGTTTCTGCTGTAGATGAGGACCATTTATCACAAGAAAATCGTAACACACAAGAGGCAGGGAGTTACACACAAGTGTTTCCAGAGGGTGGTTCTCTGGGTGAGTCGTCAGATCAAAAGAGATTGCACATTCCAGGTTATGTGGTCTAATTTCAGCAAAAGCACTAATATCCCAAAGTGGTTTGTTCTGTGGAGGAGTATTGAAAGAAAAGGGATGGTAGATTGCACTAAGATCAATCTGTGACGAGAAGGAAATCAGCACCTCAGAGAAGACTTCCAGCGCCAAAGTCTACCTCCTTCCTGAGCTTCAAAAGCGTCAGAGGAGAGGC